AAAATAAAACAAAACACGCAAGTCTAAGCCTAATACATTCAGATACTGATTACAGGTTTCAAGTATCAGGCGGTAGCCGTGTTAGTCTGTGTCCACAAAAACAATGAGGAGTCCAGTGGCACCTTAAAGACTAATAGATTTATTTGGTGTCACGGACTCACAGATCGTGCCCACTCTTGGCCCCGTGCGGTCCGTGGGGGGAACCCCTTTCAGTGAGACAGCCCTTCTCGGGGGTCCACTCTCTCTCGGGGTCAGGCCCCTCCACTTCCTGGAGCCGCACCTCTGAGCCTTCGCACACCTGTGTCTCGACGTGGGTCCCCCCAGGGAGTCCACTCATTCTGGATCCCCCGGGCCTCCACCCTCAAAGAGGTTGATGCAACCCTGTTCTCTAGACCGGAGTGACTCTCAGCCAGTGTAAAACAGGAGTGTTTATTGAGAGTTGAACACAGCACAGGAAACTCAGGTCCTCAGGCCTGGCCTCCCTCAGCCCAACACATCCCAGTCTCCCCTGCATCCAGGTGGGCTCTGCCTGCTCCCCCTCTCCAGCCCCGAGCCCCCCTGCTCCCAGCTGGGCATCTGATATCCTCTGTCCATTGTCTTCTTTCCAGGTAAACAGGGTCGTACACTGGGGCCTCCTCTCCTCGCTTCTGTCTTCTGGCTGGAACCGGCTGGTTAGGTCACTGGGTCCTCTCTCTGCAGCCCATTGCCCTCCCACCAGCCAGAACTGGCTGCGACTCCTGAGATGGGTCTCGAGGTCATTAGGTCACCCGTCGCTGGGGTCTCCGTCCTCCAGGCCATTGGCTGGGGTCCCAAGTTCCCTGTCCGGTCCTCTGTAACCACAAACTCCCTCTCCCCTCCCCTCATTAAACCAGTAACACCCAGGGAAACTGAGTCCCACCCCCTCCGCATACAAACCATTGCAAACCCACAGAAAACAAGAAAATCCCCCACTTCGTCACATTTGGGCATAAGCTTTAGTGGGTAAAAAACCACTTGCATCTGAAGAAATGGGTTTTTTTACACACAAAAGCTTATGCCCAAATAAATCTTTTAGTCCTTAAGGTGCCACCAGACTCCTCATTGTTTTTGATTACAGGTAATATCTCACCCTCAAAAATTAGACTCCTTCCTAGTTTGGGCCCAATCCTTTCCTCGGTACAGTCTTTGTTATACCCAGCAGACATCTCAGGTGGTAAGCAGGGGTTTTCTCATGACTGGAAGCCCTTTGTCCTGCTCCACACCCTTTTATAGCTTTGGCACAAGGCAGGAATCTTTTGTCTCTCTGGGTCCCCACCCCTCCTTCTAAATAGGAAAGTACCAGGTTTAAGATGGATTTCATTATCAGGTGATATGGTCACATGTCACTGTAAGACCCCTAGTCTCCATTCCCCATGGGCTGGCCCACACGTACACAGGGAGGCTTTCAAAAGTAACTAAGGCCATTTACAACTGATTGTTTCTGGAGCACCCTTATTGGCCTCCACTTAATATGTTTACATCAGTGATACAAGTTTATATCTTATTCTCCAAACTCCAGATATAGAAATACTAAATGGAAACAAATAGGATGAACACACTTAGTAGATTACAATTTTCTAAAGACACTATACAGGGGTATTTAGGGTAAAGCATATTCCAGTGATGTCATATTCATGAGCATATTTCCGTAAAGCATATGAAGTGCAACGTCACAGGGGGTTCCAGCTGGTTCTGTTTTGTATTGGAACCCCTAGGTATTGAACCCGACTCTGGTGGCTGCCGACTCCACCTGGCAGAAGGGTTACTCCTGGCAAGAAAAGCAGAAAAATGACAATAGGTTCCAAGGCCACTGAGAGTATAATGTGCAAACTGGTGGGTTGTCTCTGGGAGGCGACACACAAACAGGGCCGGTGCAAGGATATTTTGCACCCTAGGCGAAACCTCCACCTTGTGCCCCCCTTCCCACTCCTCCTGGAGCATGTATACTGTTCTGTTCATTCCCTCTGAAGCACCTGACAATTCTTTGTTAATAATTGTACTGGGCCACAAACCAGGGCAGTCTGTAGGGTACAAGGGGAGACAGGTAGCTGGAGGGGGGTTACCATATTTCAGCAAGCAAAAAAGAGGACAGAAGGAGCCCCGCCCTAGCCCTGCCCCCATCCTGCCCTAGCCCCGCCCCATCCTGCCCTAGCCCCGCCCCTATCCCTCCTACTTCCCCCCCCCCCAGGACACCCAACCCTCCACCTGCTCCTTTGTCCCCTGACTGCCCCCTCCGGGGGACCCCTGCCCCTAACTGCCCCCCAGGACTCCACCCCCTACCTAAGCCTCCCTGCCTCTTGTCCCCTGACTGCCCCAACCCTTATCCACCCCCCCACCC